AAGCAGCTGTCAGCTCCGAATGAAAGCTCTGGAGTCAGGCTGCAGAAATGGGTGTTACGCCTGGCAGGCTGCAAAATTATCCTTAATGGCTGAGAGACAAGTACATCCCTAGTAAAACAATGCTGAGTAAATTAGGGAGGACGTTCAGGTTGGTGCAATGATCAATAAATTATGAAGATGGAGCAGCCCAAATTTGGCGAGCGGGACCTCTGCAGATGAGCTGGGTTTGAAGTCATGCTCTAACAGTGGCTGTATTGATGCAGTAGAAATTGTATCCCAAGGGTGGTGCTTGAGAAGGCTGTGGTATCACTGCGGGGAAGCAACCAGAGACAGGACTTGGTCTGATGGTGCAAAAGAGGATTAAAGTCGTCTTTAAACGAGTTAGCAGGGGCATATGAGTTGAGTGCAATGCTGACTACATGGCAGTGGTGCGTTACAGTGCTGTGGGTGCTAGAAATCTACAGAAATCTGGCAGGAAAGGCATAAGAACCGCTTGCAGATTGGAGAATATGCTTTGTTTCCCTTATCAAAATGAGATGACTGGATTACAGTGTATAATTACCTTCACAACAAGGAAAAAAAAAAAAAGTGTTTTGCATCAGATGAACGCATTACAAGAATCAGTGGGTGGAAATGTAAGCCAAGCAAATTTAAGCAAGCAAAGAGGCTTGGATTTGTAGCAGTAAGTGTGATGAACTGCTGAAACAAACTGCCCAGGAAAGTGATAGTGTACGTATCAAAACTGGATCCCTTTCTGGAAAATACGTGTCAGCCAAACAGACATTATTGGGCTCGGTATATGGGGAATGGGGCAACGCTATAGTCTGTGACAGAGAAGAGGTTAGACAGGATGAGCTAATGGTGCTTTCTGGCCTCAAAATTCATAAATCAAGGAAAACGTCTCAAACATTTTAGGCCAAAGTCTCCTTATTTCACGCAGCTAAATCATCCATTAATCCCAAGGAAACACTGAGGCAAATAGCATCAGGAGCAGCAAGGGGTATGGGCTTGGACAGGCTAAAGCTTATTATATATATAGCTTTTGTGTTAATATGCAACGTTATATATTCTGTATATTATAGACTGGGGGGCCGAGGCTGTTGGCTATGGTCAGCACGCTCCGAGTCAGTGCTCAGGGAGCAGGGGAGTGTGCTCAGCAGATGTACCCAGAGATAGACAGACCGGGTGGGAATGTAGGAGAGTGGATACAGGGAGCGCTGAATATGTAATTTGCTCCTGTTTCAGGTATTCCTGTGGAGAGAAAGAACTTTAATTGTTTTGGCGGGGAACGCTGCTGTGTAGACTGAAATGGGAGAAAGAATGTAAACAAAGGGCAACAATCAATTGCCGTGTTATCGCAGCTTGTAGAAATGTCTCGCGGGTCATGGCAGGGACTTTTGACAGACATCGTCCTATTTAATATCTCTATGGTGATCTCAAAGCAGAGGTAAACAGCACAATAGTGAAATGTGCTGATGATACTAAACCAGGAAGGAATGCAAACAGGAGACAGCAGATAAACGATATCAAAGGACCGGCAGATATTAGAAAGCTGGGTACAAAATCCCCCAAACAACTCATTAAAAAAAAGGAGGAAAAAAAACCAAAAGAAGAAGATATATTTGAATGTACACGTTCTGGCCATCGATATTGCTAATAGAGTTTCAAGGTATAGCAGACAGCAGATCAGATGGGAACGAGAGATGAATTTGCAGAGTGATAAAGGCTATGCACATACAGACGTGTCACGAAGCAGTGAGGTAACAGTTCACGTGTAAAGCTCTGTGTTACTACATTCAACTCTCTGTTCAATATTGCCAGCTGCTGACTGACTGGAAGGAGTTGGAAGGGATCCCACAGCAATTCAAAGGCTGGAAAAATCACTTTGGGGGAAAGACTGAGGCTCAAACCCAGCATCTCATTAAGCATAAACTTTAAACTTAAAGTGCACGAGCTGTGCTCTGATTTACAACTCCCTTTATAGCCCTACTAGGTGGCTTTAACAACGAAACTACATATCAGCTTAAAAGGTGCACATGTTTAAGCACTTTGTTTAGGCTGGAGCAGAAAGGGTTTGGTTAAACCTGCAAGGAAACGTGACAAAAGTCTACGAGCCCTTGGCCACTGAAAGGTGCATATTGGCTGCACTGAAATTAGCAGGCAGTCATGTATTTCCATAAGGCTGGGCTGCTGCATTCCTATGCACGGAACAAAGGTCTGCAAAGGCTTAAACCAGCCCATATTATTTAACTGTAAGGGAGGAAGACAGCAAACTCAGGCCTTTTGGGTGTATTTTTTTTAAGGTGAAAACTGGAAGGCTGTCAGATGGTCTTTCAAGGGGAGTTTGTATTGCTGGGGGTTTAGATAGATTTGAATAAAGCACCAGAGAATGCCTATAAAGCAGAGCTTTACGTCTTTACATTGGAAGGCTGGGAGTTCTTCCCTATCCCAAGAATTCCTGATCATATGGAGTGGCCACAAAAGCTCCACAATTCAAGGTGGGAGGAATGGTTCCCTTCTGAACTCTGAAATCATCTCTGTGACTGTTCATAAAAGAGTTCTTTTGAGACTGAATTCCTGATGCTGATTCTCGAACCAAGGAAAATTAATCTTTAAAGAATAAGGCTGTGAAATGCTGAACTGGGATCACAGATAACGGTGGGAATATCTCTCTGTGTAACCATTTATTGTGCTTAGAACTGAGAATTATCTGAAACAGAGAGCAGTTTGTTCTGCAAGAATGGCATTTTGGGGGAGTTAGTACTCGATTCTTTTTGAAAGTCAAGACAAGGTGAATACCCAGCTTAGGTTCTTTTAAACATTGCCACAGACTGAGTTAGCTTGTTTATTTGTTTTTATTTGTTTTTTGTTTTTTTAAATTTTGCTCAGAAATAGTAGGAAACAACTCTCTTCTGGAAAAAATTAACACTTCAGTGTTTCCCTTCATGATTCTAGACTTATAATGCAATTAGTATCACATGATTTTATAATTAGTATTAGCAAATCACTGTATACAAGGACATCTAATATTTAATGTTATCTTTCAGAAATTTAGTAGTGAAAATAAGAGAGTTTGCTTTGGCAGGGATTTAGGCTTGGAAAGTTAGCAGGCACTCTTCTGGGCTTGACTAGTCAATACCCATCAGAATTTTACAAAATCCCTGCACAGATTATTAAAAAAGCAACAGGGAAAGACCAAGGGCATGATGATTAGGGTAGAGCTTCCCTTTACAAATCTTGATTGAACAAATACTTGAAAGTCACGTTTGTCGTCATGGGATGGAAGTCGGGATACGGGGTTAAATTATTGACGTGACTGAATATCTACAGATCCTTCTCCTTTTTCTTCTTTCCGTTGCCCTTTTTTTATCTCATTGCAATTTCATATTGCACTGCTTCATTCATTCCCTAGTGCTTTTCTTCTCCTGATAGGATGTCTATCTGTGATTCTGTCATTCTGTGATAAGCTAGTTCAAGTGCCCACCTCACAACCTATTGCTCTCCTCAGGCAGTTACTTAGTTCGAACATTCAGCACTCAGTCCCCTTTGGATGCTGAGTTGCTACAGCAGTTAAGATTTGTATGTGTAGTACAGTACAAAAGCTACCAAAAGAGGGCAACATATGAGCCAACAATGAGAAATGTATCCTGACAAGTTTACGGTTGTGTATTTGTGACGCCCTCCCCCCCTTTCTTTTTGATAGAGCAAGAACTTTTAGCAGAGCTGGTCAGGAAACAGAATTTCCATTTTATGGGAAATTCCAACACTTGGGTAAAAAGTGAAGGTGCTGAAGTTTTCATGTCAGAGAAAATATATTTGGCATGATGGAAGTGTTCCATAAATGTCAAATCATTCTCACACCAGAAACCGTAAAAGTTATAATGACATTAAAATATTAAATTTAATAGGAAAAATATTAAACATATGAATGCTGTAAAGTTCAAAACAGAATTAAATGAAACAAGGAGCACTTAAATGTTTTCACTTTATGGAAAACAATACTTTAAATATTACTCAATGTACATGTTAATATAATGTAAATATAATTTTAATTTGTCTCCATTAAAAATGTTGTCAAAATAAGTATGCTTCCAAAAAAGCAAGCTGATTAAGACCAGGTTGTATTTCCTGAAAGAATATGTTTCCTCTGAACATTGTTTAATTACGCTTTCTCGCGGTGAAATGCCTGAGAGAATTTCCAAATACTCTTAATAATCCCACAAAAGGCTGAGGTAAGTTGGCCACATCCCAGAACTGTCCCCGATGCTGTGTTTGTGAAGGTAGACAAAGTGCTATCCCAAACGCCAAGGCATGTGAGCTCAAGAGCGAGTATACCCTGGACAACACCGAATGTGCACTCATTGGCTAACAGGTTATTATAAACAAAGTTTTTTTTCAAAGTATTGAATAGTACTCCAAGGAGTTAGACAGTCTTGAACACATGCCAGCGTGGCAATGGATACCGTAAGCAAATATAATCTACCTCACTTAGGGTAAATATTTGGCTACAAATGTATTGAGAGCTCTTTAATTCTTTGTACGCTTCTATCATGAGAACCAGAGGAAAGGCAGGGGAGATGTAAAGACTGAAGGGTGATTTTTTTTCTTCTCTTATCAGCTGCCCAGATAGGCCAGCTGCCAGTCAAATTAAAAACCTCACTGGAGGAAATGAATGAAGGCCTGTAGGTGTAGAAATCTGCTGTTTATACAGCTGCACCAAGTTCTGCTAATGATCAACCAGAATCAGCCAAGTCTTCGTGGAGATATGCAAAAATTTTGTGGCAGTGTCCAGAAGGTTGATTACGGAATTTAGGACATCCTCAGGGTTTTTTCTTTTTCCTTTATTTGTCTCATCTCTTTTTTTTCCAAGACTAACTTCTGCTTTCTGCTTGCTTCTATTATGGCTTAAAATGCTGGAAAGTATCTGGGAAGGAGAGGGGGGCAGATCTATGATCTATCTGAAGGGCAACGAAACATTTGGAAAGTTTGGAAGTACTCACCCATCTCCAAGACAGGATGTTCTGCTTGCAGGAACAATACCTTATCTTCTCTCATTTTTCCGAGTCCTGCTTTTGCATCTGTATTTCTGTGGATTCCAAAAGAAGGAAAGATTTACTTTTCCCAGCCAGAAACAAGTAGAGGTTTCTGTCTGGGGGGTTTCTCTATTGTCTGATCTATCAGGTGAATGACAACTTCACTTTGTTCACCTGACAAAGGGCTACAGAACCATAGGGTGTCAAATGAGGTGTTCAGTATAGGAATGACAGCTGCACACACTGTCTGTGTGGCTGTACTGACTCTAATCACAATGTTTTCAGACAGCTTCCTGCAGGAAGCTATTTATACTCATCTGCTTGTCCTTCATTTCTTGTACTGCTCATCTATTTTTGAGTAATGTCTTGATACTCTTTCCCAGGCAGTGATGCTACTTTTGGGAAACAAACGAGGAAGAGTTATGGAATATAATGCATGTATTTTAATGGCACTGGGAGGTGTGGGTCATTATCTGGTTGTGTTTATTTGTAGGGAAAAAAGGTAAATTGCCTCCTGAAATAGCCTTGCCTGGTGGGTACGAGCCTGGTCTGACTGCCATCTAATATTCCCACTTTACCCAGCAGCCCAGTGACTGGTATTTATTCAGGAAAGAATTGGCCCATGCACACAGACAGACTCATTCTCTAAGTGGTTCTGCGTATGCCTTTGCTTCTTGACTTCTGCCAAATCCAAGCCTAAATTCTGGGAAGCAACAATAACACTAACAGGAGTCATGTCAGAGTTGAAGGCGATTGCATTAGCTCTGCAAACACAAACCGGACTTCTTTTTCCTCTTTAAAAATGATTTTTAAACATGCCTTGGCTTCTCTGAGCTAGTGTACTTTTACCCTGTGAGTCAGGTTATGAAGAGGGATCTGTTACCCCCTTCACAGATGTGGTACTTGAGCCCAGTTACATCACATTTTGAGGCTGATGGATCTCCGAAGGGAACTGCAGGATCCAATCACGTGCTTTCTGCCTCTTGCTATTGATTCTTGTGGTTAGTCTGTTTCTGATTTTATTTCTCTGTGTAGTTTAAGGGCAAGTCTGTGGTTGCTCCATGTGCCCAAGTGAGGGAGCAAGGGTGCAGAAGACTGCCTGAAAATAAATAAATCAGAAACAGATAGACTAATTACCAGGACAAATGCCAAGGGACGGAGAACACACAGCATCCTCATGATCAGATACGCCCGTCCTGTTGGAGGAGAGGTGGGTGCTTTACCATGTGACGTAACTGTACCACATTGGAGAAGAGAGCCAGAGCATCTTCTTCCTCACCTGGCTGAGCAAAACCCTCTCGTGGGGTTTGCCCACACGGCGTGTCCCAGCACGGGGAGGAACAGCTTCCCTGAAGTAGGGGTGGGGAGGAGCAAGGCTGGGAAATGAGAGGCTGCCCTCGCTTCTCCAGTGCCTGCCCCGACAGCCAGCGGGGCTAAGCTGACATGAGGAAGGATGTAATCTACTCCTGGTTGTTTTATGCTCAAAGCACGTTACTTCCTTCCGTGGAATAAGAGGATAGTCATGGGTGTTGTCGTGACTCACGGTCTCCTGGGGCAGCACGGCTCCGTGCCATGCCTATAATCAAATGACCCGGGGGGTGAATTAGGAAGGCTTTTGATGTCATTCTCTGAGCGCTGCACCACAGGAGACAAAGACTTAATGTAACGTCAGGCTATCTCTTAAACAGAACCATGAAACTAACTTTGACTTGCCAGCAGCTGGTACAGGCAGTGGCCTCCCTTACACCGCTCTGGCACTTAGCATAAGAAATGTCATTATGTGGGTGGATTAGGCAGAACCTGTCAAAGTTGTGTGCGTGTTCTTTGGCTGTGTTTCCTTCCCTGGGCTAATAATGCCGAGGAGACGGGGAGTGGGTTGACACATTTTCTGGCATGTGTCACGTAACCCAGTGAAGTGGAGGACATGTCAGCCACAAGACTTTTCTGCTTTAGTAAGTCGCAGGCAGAAGTGACATGCTGCAGCGGCTAGCAGTCTTAATCCTCTCTGTATTCACACCGCTGGTGCCTTCAGCATGGTTTCAGCTTCCCCGGGGCTCCCTGACGGAGCCAGAGGTACGTCTGGAGGAAAGGGTAAGGAAATGTATCCAGACAGATATTGTTTAAGCTCAGGGAAGCAGCAGTAGACCGAGGCGTTTGCATAACGTGTTACCTACAGACCCTGAAGAGCTTTACAACTTGACTGACATGATCTCTGTAAGAAACGCTGAATTTGGCACTGATAAACAGGCAGAAATATTCAGCGACTGCTACACAGTGTGCAGAAATGCTCCATGATCGGTTCAGCAGAGGATACAAAGAATATCTGTACCTGATTACAAGAGATTGTTAGGACAGAAGATGCTAAATCAAGACAACCGGAGACTGATGAAATTTAGGACAGTCACTGTCGCTGGCTCCCTAAACCGGTGTGAGGGCAGTGGATATGAGTATTGAGGTGAGGGAATTTCCCAAGATCCGGCACAACCTCAAAGTAAACTGTCCTCAGGGGAGCGGGGAAGAGAGGGTACTCATTCCCGCAGGGAAGCCTGGTTTTGCACAGCCCCCTGCTCAAAGTCTGTGCTGGGGAGATGCAGGTTAGTCCCTGGGCTGAGGCAATATGCCAGCTGGGTTCTGCACAAATCACCATCAGAGCAGCAGAAGACGCTATGAGAATGTCTACCCACTATGACTGAAATGCCATCTCCTGTCCCTGCCAGTATGTTGCAGGCTCTGTGTTCAGTTGTCGGGAAAAGACATCTGGGCTGGGTGTCAGCTGCGTGCCACAAAACACACGGGTCCTAGGTCTGATGTGACTTAGAGTAGTGACAGCAGCTAATTCACTAGGAAGAGTTCCTATACTGTGATTTCCCTGTAGCTCATAATTAAAGAAGAAAAAATTAGGCAAGTAACTACATGTGAATGACAACTACTACTCTGTTGTAGCATCTCGGGTCAAGAACTGCCATGCCCAGGTGCTGTGTCCTTGTTCCCTGTGAAAATGAAGAGCAGTAGTTGCATAAGCAGGTAAATGGTGAAAACACAGCTTGGCAGGCATAGAGGAAACCTGTGTGGAACTGCACAATAGCCCCCCATGGCTGAGGGTGCCTCCTCCCTTCACTTGCTGGTGTTGAGCCACAGCATGGGATTGTAGGACAGAAACTGCCCAGTAACTATACCTCCTGCAAACACAGGTCATCTCTCCTGATGTGGATGCTGTCCCTGTGTCAGGCAGAGCTGGTTAGCCAGTCACTCAGCTGGTGCCTAGTGTGTGGGGCTCAGGAGCTGGACCAGAGCTTAAGGGACTGCACTGGGATGCTCCAAGATGCCAATTCTGCCATAGAGGAGGAAGAGGCAGAGGATAATGCTGAGATGGGAGATGACTCTGCCACTTAATTTGTGCTTGCCTGCACTGCTTGACGTTTGTGTGAAGGTGAGACAGCCTACACCAACACGATACCTGACACAGAATTTGTATTGTCCCGTGATCAGCGTGACCCTGCTCAGATAACGTCACATCTCCAGTTGTGTAACAGCACCATGTTCTCTAGATCACAGGCCTGCAATCATTATTGAGCTGACTGTTTGTGCACGGGGGAGGGAATTCAAATATTGTTAATCAGTGGAAACGTTAGCTACGTGTCCTTTGTTGGGAGTAAACCAACCCCATTCCCTATATGTCCACATATTGAAAGCAGGAACTCATTGGAGAGAGAAAATGTGTGTCAGGAGGGATAAAGGAAGAGCTTTCATCTGTGTATGAGTACATGACGTGCAAGGTACACAACCGTGTTTAGGTAGATACCAGTGTTGTGTAATTCAAGGGTAGCGTAACTTTAAGAAAAAAAAAAATCCACTGCTGCCACGATATTTTTCATTTACAGCCAAATAAAAATTAGGCTAAACTCTGCATGCTCATTTATTGCTTTTACTTCCCCCCACTTTGTTTGTTTGCTTGCCTGCTTTCTTGCATGGTAATGGGTATGTTGTTTGGTGGCTGGTTTGTTTTTATTTGAAATAATTTTGCATGTAATTTTCTGAACTCTTGCAGAGCAGAGAGACCAGTAAATGTGTATGTTTATGCACCTTTGTCCATGTACAAAGACCGATGGATAGCTAATAAAATGCATATCTCTGCAATCCTTTCATGCTTAAGATCCCCAAGCAGAAGTTGTGAGTATTCAAATAAAATAGAACTGATCCAAAATGGACATATTTAGCTTAGATAATAGCAGCCCCCAGATATGTGCCTCTTTCTGCAGTTGGAAATCTGTCAGTTGAACAAAGAGGAGGATACAGTGTGAATCAGGCTGTCCTAAAAGCTTTATGTGATAGACACACTTTATGGAGTTAGTTCCATTTCTCACACATTTCAAAAGCAGACTCAGACCCTAATTATCATGAGGAAAAAATTCCACAAAATCATTTTTTTGTAGTCAAAGATTGCAATGTCTTTTAAAAGTCAGAATATATGTTAAAAGAACCGAGTTCGTCCCAAGGCTTATGGTTCAGCTGTACAAAGCTTCTCCTTGTTCCTTCCCTCTGAAAAATTATTCCTGAAAAGTCATTCTGCATATGGTTTTTCTGCTATTTTTTGAGGAAGAAAAGAATATAAATGAGCTGTAAAGCTCGTGTTGTTCTGAACTCCTTCTCTCTTTCACCGATGAGTTCATCAAAAAAAATTCCACAAGAAACAAATGTTATTATGAGATTAGCAGAATGAATGCCAGAGTTCAGATACTAAACAATTTTTTTTAAAAGCAGTGGGCTTAATGACGTGAAGGAAGTTGTAGTTTAAACATCAAGGTCAATTATTTCGTTAAATATTATTTAAAAGTTACTTGCCTTGAAACAAAACCAGAGCTATCCATTTCCCAAAAATGCAAACAGATTATTCTGCTCCTGTTTGTCAGCTTCACTAGATAACTTCTATTTGATCTTCAAATGAAAACAGTTTCTGTTTCAGATTTATACAACAGGCTGCCTCTAAAAAGAAAAAGATCTTAAGGTTGGACTGCTGCTTACTTTCCCTTC